TACCATTTCTTTGCAGCAATTAAAGAGAGAAGTCCGAATCTTGAAATAAACTGCTGCATAAGTGATGACGACCCAGCCCTGAACAATGGTCTGGAAATGGGCTTTGGCGTAACTGTTCTTCACATCTTATGTAAATGGCATACACACAGGACTTTCCAGAAAAACCTAAACATTCATGTAAAAGATACTCAGCTGAATGCAGAAATGTTCCAAGTTTTATGTGTAATCATTGATGCCGCCTCAGAAGATGAATTGAAGCAATTGATTGGCAGATTTCAAACATACTACGAAAATAGTGCCTCAGGATTAATGAAATATTTTAAAGAAACCAGTCTTCCAAAAGTGAGAAAATGGGCTATGTGTTATCGACCTATTCCTCATGGTAATGTTGAGACCACAATGTTTGCAGAAGCCTTTCACAATATTTTGAAGACTGTGTACATGAAAAGAAGGCCAATCACAAGAATTGATGACCTCATCTGTCTATTATTAGATATTGAAGCAGATTATTTCCGCCGATGGTTTAGTGATGTCCATCTGAAGACACCTCGTTCCGAAGATATTAAAAATATTACTAATCGTCACCTTAGAGGATTACAAATATCTGATTCTGATATTTCTCAGATTTCTACTGGATTATGCTCTGGAAACCCAAGTGTGTACATGTATGCGTTATTTACTGAATACCTACATGTATGCAGCAAATACTGCATACATGATCATGTATGCAGCAAATAGTGTGTACATGACCATGTATGCAGCAAATACTGCATACATGATCATGTATGCAGCAAATAGTGTGTACATGACCATGTATGCAGCAAATACTGCATACATGGCCAGGTACACACTTCGGCACATAGCTTTTATCATAGAGCTCTACGTGTGTACATGGCCATGTATGCAGTATTTGCTGCATACATGGTCATGTACACACTATTTGCCGCATACATGATCATGTATGCAGTATTTGCTGCATACATGGTCATGTACACACTATTTGCTGCATACATGATCATGTATGCAGTATTTGCTGCATACATGTAGGTATTCAGTAAATAACGCATACATGTACACACTTGGGTTTCCAGAGTGGAATGTCACTTCTCAATCAGGCACAGGAACCTCCTCTTCTTATTTGGTCCAACAGTGTGAAGTAGAGTGTTCTTCAGACTCATGTATACATTTTTGCAATACCTTGCCTTGTAAAAACCTCTGCTCACATATGTTCATCTGCTCGTGTCCAGATAGGGAGCCTTTGTGTAAGCACATACACAAAGTGCAATCTATGAAGAGTCGGCATCAAGTTTTGCCTGTAACTAGTAATGAGTTTTTCATCGTTAACCATGATCATGTTCCAAGAGATGGCAGTGCAATGACTGATGATCCTTCAACTTCTCTAGTCGTGGAATCTTCAACCCTTAGTCCATCAGTCATTGATACCTCTAGTCAAGTCAACAACGAACAAACCTCAAGTCCAGCCGTCACTGATTCATCTAGTCAATTATCAAAAGTTATTGAACCAGCCTCTGGTCATGCCCTAAGATCAGTTTGTGAAGAAAATAATTTAACTAGTAAGCCAAGTAAGAGACTAGAAAAAATAGAAGAACTCATGTCGGTAATCCGCAGGGAATGTGATAAACCTATGGTGCAAAAGTTCTTGTTACCCAAAGTTCAGTCTACCTTGACAGATCTGTTCCACAAATGTTCTGCACTCCCTGAAGATCAGGGCGCACGTGAGACTCAGCTGCCTTCAATGCAAGTAAAATCAAAGCCAAGTTCTCGGTCAAAATTGGAAACACAAGTCCCCAAATTCAAGAAAGTTATGAAAAAAAAGAAAAAAAGAAGACAGTGAAGACTCCGGGTTATCAGTGTTTCACTTCGAAATTTCTTTGTGAGTGGTACACCAGGTGACATTTCTGAAGTTTCTGAAGACCCTTCTACAGTTGACCCAGAGCCCCTTTTACTTGATGTTTCTGATTCCTGCAACTCAGAGGGACTTAGTGATGAAACTATCGAAGACTTCATCTTGTCTCTTCAATTGGATAATGATTCATTGAGCATTCTTGATATGCATATCACTTCCTTTATTGTGAAGAATAAAAAAGCTCCTCAAGATTATGGCCCATCTCTACTGTTAAATAAAGAGACAATTTCAGCACCATTCAAAATAGATGAGCATTGGGTGTGCTTGGCAGTTCTAGTCACCCACAGTCTCATTATTCTGTACAATCCTCTGAGAGCTCACTCAACTCTTAACAAGATGGAAAAAAAGTTTGTGGAGAGCATTGTTGTGTTCATGAATTCAATTCATCCCCATGCACCCAAGTGGAGTTTCAAACATTACTTTGATCCAGTACTAAGTGACAACATGTTAGGGACTTATGTGTGTTGGTTTGCTGAGCAGGCCTCACACGGCAGTGAATTTGTACCCTTGGCCACTCCTGATGTTTATCAGGCACATATTTTATCCAAAGTTGGATTTGGTGATGGTTGTAATAATATCCTTTAATTGCACTGATCTCTCTTTCATATTTAATCCGAATGCACAGTTATGTGTTACAAGTATTCCATAATTTATCAGGACATACATACTGAATTGGTTTGTAACACCAGTTGTTCCCTGTGTAGAAATTTTTTTATTTTAGTACTCTGGTACCCTTAACTAATTCTAATATGTTTATCAACAACATATTTTATCTAAAGTTGGATTTGTTGATGGTTTTTTGATAATATATCCTCTAATTTGTGTTTATCTCTCTTTCATTTTTAAATTCAAATGAATAGTAATGTGTTAAAAGTGTTGAACAATTTATTAGGACTTAGGTACTGAATAGGTTTGAAATGCTTTAATAGAGAATTTTGGTTTAAATACCCCTTAGTACCCTTTGACCAGTCCTGGTTATCAGGCAAAATTTTATCCATGGTTCGATTTGTTGGTTGTTGTGATATACCCTAAACATGGCGGTCTCTCTTTCATGTTTGGTTCAAATACATATTAATGTGCTAAGAGTGTTCAAATATTTGTTATAGCAGGACATATGTACTGAATTGTTTCGTAATTTTGTAACGCTGTTATTATAGAGTGTAGAGAATTTTTATTTGAGTACCCTATCATGCCGTGGCTAGTTCTGATGTTTATCCAAAGTTGGATTTGGTGTGGTTCGTGATAACCTCTAATCGCTTTGATCTCTCATTCATATTTATTTCAAATGCATATTAATGTGTTAAAAGTGTTTGATAATTTATTAGGACAAATACTGAATTGGTTTGCAATGTTGTTGTTATACTGTCTATGTAGAGAATTTTTGTTTTATTACCCTAGGTTAATATGGATGTTTTTCAAGCACAAATTTTATCCCAAGTTTTATTTGGTGATGGTTGTGATAATATCCTCTAATCATATTAATCTCTTTTTCTTGTTTAATTCAAATGCATAGTAATGTGTTAAAAGTGTTGGACAATTTATTAGGAGGACATACGTACTGAATTGGTTTGTACCGCTGTTTTTATACAGTGTAGAGAATTTTTTAACTCTTGTTTTTACACCTTTTAGTACCTTTGGCTAGTTTAGATGTTTATCAGGCACAAATTTCATGTTAAGTTAAATTTGGTGATTGTTCTGATAATATCCTCTTATTGTATTAATCTCTTTTTCATATTTAGTTCAAATGCACAGTAATGTGTCAAAAGTGTTTTGACAATTTATTAGGACATACGTACTGAATTGGTGTGTTACGCTGTTTTGTAATAATGTTTATTTTTGTACCTTATGGTGCCCTTAGCTACTTCTGATGTTTATCAAGCAGATATTTTATCTAAAGTTTGAAGATGGTGTGATGATGTTCATACCCAATTTCCTCCAATGCAAATGTTACTTTGCATTTGCGAATTAACATCATCTGATGGTTGTGATAACTTCCTTTAATGCAATGGCACTTTGCATTGCAATTTAATTTTTCATGTCATTCAATTTACTTTTTTGTTGAAATTGTGCTTTATTTCCTCACTTACCAATAGAAGACAATAATAGTAAATGAGACAATGATAAAAGTTTTCTCCTTTTTGTCAACATTTCCATAACTAAAAATGACCTTAACTATATTCTGGTTCTCTTACTTGATAGTGATGCTATCCACTTTCTTAAGAGATGGATACCCTACAGGAAAAAAGCAACTGGGAATTGCTGACGTTTTGCTAAACGTAGGCTAAAACATCAGCTGACATTTGGCAGATTTTAACTAAGATTGACTGCGTTTAGCGGCGTTTTCCAGCTGTTCCACTAAAAATTGCAGACTTTTGACTTGCGTTCTACTGAGGGCTCTCCCTGTAACAGGAGTGAACTGATATTAGCTGAGTAGCTCGGCTGCGTTTTAGCTGCGTTTTACCTGGCGGTTGACTGACTGTAACTGATATTACCTAAGAGGAACTGAAGGTGCGCCTGATGTTATCTGTCTCTTACCCTGGAGTCTACTGAAAAGCTTTGCTGTACTTGACTGACTTTTGCTACATTTTAACTAAACCTCGAAAAAAAAGCAAAAATAGATTGCGTATTTGAACCCCGAAATATCAGGACGGAAGTCGACACTCTAGACCACTACGCTATACGCGAGGGGTGCCCAACTGAGGTAATCAGGTGTACACAGAGTAGGTAATCCCTGGTAATCCCTGGTAATCACCGGTAATCATTGGTAATCGCCAGTAATCCTTGGTAATCGCCGGTAATCCTTTGTTATCACGGGGAATCCTTGGTAATCACAGGTAATGCAGGGTAATCGCCGGTAATCCATGGTAATCACTAGGTAATTGTTGGTAATCAACAGGTAATCGTCGATAATCACCAGGTAATCTTTGGTAACCACTCAGTTATCCAGCAAGGAAATTCCTGGAAATCTTTGGTAATCACTGGTAATCTTTGGTAATCACTGGTAAT